TATTATTATGATCATTATTATTATTGTTATTGTCATTAGTTGGGACTTTCTGTAAACGTTACATTTAAAAAGCAAAATACTACAGTAAAATATGTAAAATGACTGTTTAACTGCTAAAGATTTATTTTCTTCATGAATAAAAGAAAACTGTGATAGAAACGAAGAAATAATAATAGCGATTTTTAGTTCGAGAATTAATTCACTAAAATTCTGAAAAGATAGTGGCAAACTGAAAGTAATTTCTTAAACTTTTGATACATTTTGGGAAATTCTAAAGTTCGCCCACAAATTGTGAGTCTTTTCAACCAAATTTAGTGTTTTTTGCTGCTTTTTTAGACAGAAAAACTTTAATTTTACAATAAAAATTACCTTTCAATTGCGCAAAATCCAATGTTTGTATGCAATATTGCAAATTGTTAGCATCTAAATTTAATATGAATTCGTGATCAGCTTCAGGAGTTGTTTGCATTTCCTTGTGCCATAAAAATTCTTGTGTAGTTACACGATTGATCAGTGCACCACTTACCTAAACAATTTAATTAGTGATTAAAGGTTAATTTAAATTTTATTGATTGATTGCTCTTAATAGCAATAATAATAATAATAAACATAAGTATAATGTATTTACAAAACACTATATATTATATTTCTTTCCAATATAAAAATAAATATAATATATATTGTTTTCGCAAATAATATTTATTGATAAGCGATCAACTAAAAATTAAATGCAGTTTATCATTTTTGCAGATTAGTCCTACAAATAATGTTAAAATATGGAAAAGTAAAACGTACGCGACATAAAAATTTAGTTGAAATAGAAATATTTATTATTAGGACTACGAGTGCAATGTAAGTAAAGTCATATTTAGCATCTAATTTATTATTATACTTTCTAGGATAACATTTTATGTCACTTTCATTTCCACATAAGATTTTACGTTAATTTAAGTCCTTCGTAAGAATTTCTTGCTTTTATTCTAAGCTTATCATGAATATATTTTAATTTATTGCTTTTTTTCCAAAAAATGCTATATATATAATACAAATTGAGAAGTGAAACCATAAGTGAATAAGTGAGACTATTTTTTATTCTGTATGAAAAATCCATTTTATGCAAATTAGCGATGGAAAACTTTGTAATGCGATATTGCTTAGCATTAATTAAAAGTAATAATAAATTTCAAGACCTGTAAGTAAGTGGCAGGGTCAGGTTCTTTGAGAACTTCTATACAAAACTGTATAAGTGCAGTTGTTTTAGATAATTTTGTCGTACAACGCGCAATTTGCTCTTTGAATACACGTTTCTGTAAATACAGTATAGTTATAATAACTCAAACTTTTAACTTGATTTTGTATCAAACTGTACGAACAGTCTTTAAATGAATACTTGGTCATAATTTTATAAATGATTTTTAAAAAGTGCTGAGAAGTTATTACTAGTGTAAAACAAAAACTATCATTACTTTTGCCAAAATTGCAAAAAAAGCCAAAGACAATAAGTAAATTATTTGATTTTTTATCACAGAAAAAGTTATTAGATTATATTTGAAAGAGAAATTTCTGTTTTTATTCATTCTTTAGATAAAAAATAGTTATAAAAATTACAAACTTCGACCAGTCAAAACTAAAAATGTTTTAATTAATTCATTCAATTGCTAAAAGCAAATTATTGAAAAATACAAGTAGCACTGATATCTGAGAGAATATTGAAAGCTTTATATTCGCTAATGAAGATGAACATTGTACTTGAAACCTTTGATTTCAAATTTGAATTACTTTATAAGAGATCTAAAAAGTAATTCACTTTATACTCTTTTTCCTCCTCGACATACTGTAAAAGTTTCTGTTTTCTTTGTTGTAACTGTTCGATCAAGGAATCAATTTGAATTGTCAGTCGTTCTTGAAAATCAACATAATTCACCTAAAAATCTTTTTCATTTTTGTACACTTACGCTCATAACTGATATTAAATTCAATTACTTTCTGATTAGCTAATTTTAGAGCTATTTAATTATGGACACAAATTTTAATAACTGTACATACAACTGCATAAAAAGTACCAAAATATTATCATTAAACTGTTTCAATCGCGTGATTTCTTCCGTTGCATGCTTAGCTTTCTCACTTAACAACTGCAAAATTTGTGATAATTCAGCCTGAAAAATATTAATACAACTTTTTTGTTACACAAATTAATTGATTTAATATCAGTTATAGTTGCTTATATAAGTATTCAAATTCTATAAGTTTTTATTAGCTCTATTATATTCATTTCATTTTATCAGTATTATTATTAACTTACGACTACTGCCATCAATGTGAGCCAAAATAATCACTATTTCACGTGTAACATTTACATTAATTT